CACCAATGTGTTTTTGAAAGAAACACTCATGTGCTGGTTGTCTGCTTACCCAACAGCTGGGTTCTAAATTAAATACTGTTTATTAATACCATATTTTTGGTCTAATTCTTAATGAAACATCCGTTAAAAACATTATAGCACTACATGCCAAACTCCAGTCTCAGTTACACCAGTGTAAATCTAAAATAACTCCACTGATTTCAGCATCCTGGTTTATGCTGCTATTTCCTAGCAAACAGATAGCACCCTCAAATTATCATTATAAACCAGTAAAAGTTCAGAAAAGCTCATTGCAGTTAAGCTGCATCAGGATTTCGTTATCATTCTGTATTTTCATATGCTTGCAACTTTGAGGCTGAAATTTTTTGTGCTTCACCTCGGACAGTGACATTTTTTGGAAAGGCAGTGAGAAAGCCCCATAATCTGTTTCCATGCTAAGGAATCACACACACCAAAAAGAAAAAGAAGTCGCTGGGACCCTCCAGTTGGGAAGGACTCTCCCAGCTCTCTGCCGTTTCCTCTGGGCTAGCAGGAGGCACAGGGAGGGTGGGCAAGAAGTTTTTCCTCTGCAGAACTATAATTTCTGTGAGTTCCCTTGCTTTTCCACCATGTGATCCTCCCTCATTTCTTCCTCTTCCCTAACCTCCCCTTTGAAAACAAAATCATTCACACAGTGACGATGAATTAATTGTGTCACTGCAGGAATGGCTCTCAGGCATCAGAAACTAGGAAATGAGAGAACCGAAGCTGTTCATTCAGCTGTAATTAAAGTCCCAGTGTAAAATATAATACAATAGTCTTTACTCTTTATTAACGTAGCCTTGGGCTAACTCTTACACAATCTAGCCAGTACATTTTTTCCAACAATACATTTTACAGATGAGGCTGACATTACTACCTATTGCTAAGACTACCCCATACACTGTTTTCAGTTGCTTATCTCTCTCTCAAACTTTAATGTGTGGGATGAAAGTTTCCAGTCCTGGGCCCTTTTGCAATGTTCCAATGCAAAAATCACCGAGAAAGTTTCCACCAAAATATTTCTCCCATTTCCAAATAGCTGGCTAATGAAAAATAAACTCTTTTGCCCAAGTTAAAAATTCTCGTCACTTTGGCTGGGCTGAGACTTCAAAGCTTGCAGGAGACAGGCTTTGAGTTAAGGTTACCTCTGCCACAACAACGGAAATGTCTTGAAAAAATGACAGCACCTCTAACTTCTGCAAAGATTTGAATTTTTAAGCGATTAAATTAGCCAGAACTTCCTTTTATCCCAAGTGTGCTCTGACTTGGGGGCCGAGTGAGACTCTCCTCTGCAGTCTGTGCTGCTGTGGGCTCAGACCAGGATCAAAGGGATGGAAGCTTGTCTCTACCCAGTGCCGACAGACTCTTAGAGAGGAGATGTGACCAGCAAAATGTTAAGAGTTCTTTCGTATTTGGGAAGAGTGATTTCCCCCCCCTCCCCAAAGGCATATACGCTCAGCCAGATCTGGGAAGATTTCCACCAGGATGGCAAAAAGCACATTTCTGACAAAAATCCATCTTCTAAATTTCAAAGAAAAGGTGTGAAGAAATTTTCAATGCAAAAACCAACATTTTTTTCTTCTAACCACTTAAGAACTACTCAGCTGTGTTGGGAGGTATTTCCTTTCAGAATGAAACAATCAGGATAGAAAAAATCAGCACGAGAGATAAAGTTTGTCCAATCTGCCAGATGCTGCAAAAAAGGCCTTACATTAAGAAACACTGGGATGCCTGAGAAAGTTTCAGTATCTCCTACAATGAAGAACATGACCTTTAAGTGTCTATCAATAAATACTGAATGAAGAGAATCCAGAGAAACTCCCAAGACAGCAAAAAAGCACCATATATTCCCTCCTCAAATGTCATTGTGTGTAATATACTTGCAACATGCTTGGAAAGTCAATTAACATGGGCTCTACTGTACCAAGGAGAAAGAAAATTCCACCAGAAAGACACCCTACTGTGACTTTTCTTCTGTCCCTACAAGAAAAATCCACAGTATGCAGACTGAGCATGGGAAGAGGCAGCTGGGATCCCAATTCAAGCAGGGCTTCACAGGTAAAACAGCAAAGAATCAGCCAGTGACCCGAAAGAAATACAGGGAGTAGTGCAGTAGGAAAACTGGTGGGTGTAATCCCTACCGTGAGGAGTGGCTACGCGAGCAAGCAGCTGCATTTAGCCTTGTGGAACCTAAGGAACAGATTACCACAGAAAGGGCTGCATCAGAAAGGGATCCTCAAAACCTCTTTGCTGGCTAAAATGACAGGTGAGGGAATGAAATGCTCTTCCCTGTGTCCGGGGAACCACGGAGGCACAGGTAAGTATCTTGCAAGGTCCCAATGACGTAGCCCTTGTGTTCCATGTGTTGAGCTTGCTTGCCCTCACCTAAGAGCTGAGTATTGTCAGCACCATGCTGTCACTGCTACCCAAACCTCCTGTCCATGCTGAAAATGAGCAAGAAGGGAAAAGATCCTTGTGACTGCACCAGGAAACTCTTAAAGGAGATGAAGAACCACCCTGACAACTCCCTGGCATCTCCAGAAAGAACCCAGCTACCCACCAAACACCTCAAATACAAATAGACCAGAAAGGACTACCTCAGCATCTCCCTTCTGAAAAGTCGTAAAATATTGTGGAAACATTATCAGAAGTTTATCTGGAGCATGGTCTGGTGATGGAAAGACTGCATCGTTAATCAAATGGCACAGGAACAAAGCGATGAGCTCTGCTGAGGGTAACTGTTCTAGGTCTGGGTTTTGGTGGTACCTGAGCACCACTTACTTCTGTCCTCAAAAAGGACTTCCAAATGACTACCCAGGGATTCCTGTGCACAGTGATGTGCTTCACAGCAGGCACCGACCTTGTGAAAACACCCCCTAAACTTTCCGATTATTCTCTTCTCCTGCACTCTGCAAGCCTCCCCTGTCCCTCCCCTGCCACCATAACGGCTGTTTGTGCTCCTGTTCCTCACCCCACGCTGTCAGTCCCTCTCTTTCATCATTATCCTCGTCCTGCTGACTAGCAAGTTGGTCCGGCAGGCTGTGACTTCTAGAGCTGTAGTACAAGAAGCTCACAATGATGGTTACAGAAATTCTTCTCATCCTTGTCTCCTGCCCTGTGCTACAGTGCTCAGCTGTCCCAGCTGTCTGCAAGGCTGTTCTTGCAAATCTATCAGTGAACTGATCCAGCTTAGAAAGCAAGCAAACCTCCCTGACCCCCCAAGAAACAACAAGTGGTCCTTCCCCTCTTCTTTAAGCTCAATTGCTTCCAGAATGGGTTTGAAACACAAGGATATGAACAGTTGTGTGGACACATAGGAGCAAAAACAAGCATGAAAATGAGCAGCAGGTGAGCAGGAACAACTTCATCTGGCATCATCATATAACAAGGAAAATCATAGCGGTGGTGCACCAACCTTTCAGACGCTCCATGGAGTTAAGACATGGAGTTATACAAGAAGCTCTTAGTGGCTAGCACTGTGTTCCTTATTCTGTAGATATTCACAACCTTGACTGAAGACAGCACTTTTGCTAACAAGATGTTAGTCTCTCTCCAAATCCTCGTCTTCCTCCACCTGGTTTCTAATGTCCTTCTCGCATCTGCCCACTTGTCTTAAGAGTCCTCGCAGACATTTGCTGGATGCAGCATCCAAAACTCATCATGTTACATCCAGTCAGACAAACATCCAAGGAGAAAATTTCATTCAGCCAATAACCGCCAATATCAGTACCAATAACAGATAATTCTTGTTATCCACATAGATTAGGTAAACGTAACGGATTTCCCCAGTCTAAATGTAACAACTGTACAAATAAGCTTTGTGTGATACTCACACTAGGTGATGCAGTCTGAATTGTTATATAGGATTCTTCTTCTTGCCTGCTCCTGCTGCTTATTGTAATGTATCACCACACTGTTTCTCCATACTTATAAATCAGACACAAAAGATCAATTACCTGTATAAAAGTTTCATTTACACTGAAATAAATGTATGCTAAATTTCTGCAGCTACTTGATTTACATTATAAGCATTCAGAATTGGAAATGTTCTTTTTTCTGTGCAAAAGCCAGTTCCAATCAAAAGAAATGGGAAGCCCCAGAACTGCACTTGAAAATTACGATCAATCTCATTGAAAGAAAAAAAGAAATAGCAAAATTCTTCCCTTTTTGTTAAACTGGACTATTCCTTTTTAGCCAAAATGCAGAATATTTGCTGGAAAAAACAAACCTCTTGGACAACATTATCACAGATCTAATAATGGCAGAGTGTATTGACTCTGTGAAAAGCACTAAAAAGTTTGTAGTTAGCACACGTTAAGGATGATGCACTGGAAACTGATGCTTCTATGGTAAAAAAAGCATTATCTCAGTAGCTGCCTGCATTTCAGAAAACCTCATTCATTTTCTTTCCTTCTGAGTGAATTTCATCATGGCAAAACACATCAGCTTTGCAAGAGATGAAACTCCTGTTTATCCACAGATCAAGCGGTTTGGATTTGCAGGAGCGTAATCTCTCCCTGCAGTGTCCCAGCAACGCAGGGACACAGCGGGAGAGGCACCAGCCCTCAGGGAAGGCACTCCGAGCCCTCCTGCCTGTCCCCCACAGCTTTCTGCTGAGACTGCCATGCAGAGCTGGCAGGTTTGAGTTTTTCTGATGTCCCCACCAGAAGCTGACCCCTGAACAGAAAACTCACTTTGGAGTGAGTTTGAGCACCACTGAAATACCATTAGATTCACCTCTCCTACTGATATCAGGACTTTCTGACAAGCCAAGAAATGCCCTTCATGGGGCAAGCTGAGTAAAGTCATAGACAAAACCCCAGAGAGCCTGGGCTGCATCTGCCTCACATTGTGCCAGTGCCAGAGGATTAGCTCATTACTCACTTCCTTCAAGTCAAGGATTTTTAGATGCTACCTCAATAAGGCCCAGAGCAGTTTCAAGGCTGCAAACACAGCACCGATGCGCATACTGGTTCCCCTTATGCCCCGGGGGATGCTGTCTGCCTGCTTGCCCCATCATCCGGGGTGGTACCCAAGGTGGCTGTACAAAGCGTGAATGAAAACTGATCCTGGGAGGCCAAGGAGATTTGAACATTCAAAGCAGCGCAACCAAGGTGCAGGGTCCATGCCTGCAACCTGCTCGCTCCGGGAGCACCCCTCTCCTTCGCTCTCAGGATCAGGCCAGGTTTGATGGCCTGGTTCTCCACCACACCCTCAGAAGTGAAAGGAGAAGAGGAATGTGGGACACTCACCACATCTGTGTTTGTGATCTTGGCCAGGAGGTCCGTGAGGCTGTCGCCGTCATCGAGCTGAAGGCCACAGATGGCTGCTCCCACACTTCCAGTTGCTATCATTGATGGTGGGTACATGGCAAAGTTAAAATCTGCAAGAACAGATCTGGGAATTAGTCCAAGCCCAGAGCAGAAAAGCTGCAAAACATCAGAGGCAAGCAACATAAAAAAAACCACACCCAAGAATAAAAAACGGGGAAGTAGAAGAAAGGGAAAAGTGCCACTCTTTTTGGTCCAGCGGAGCTCATTAGTCACACTGCTCATCACAAGCAGTCAAAGGAGGGGTAACAGATCTGCAAATTAAAATGGAAATGCAGTTTGGTCTTTTATTCTCACTGATGCATAAAGTAAACCTGGACAATTTTTAATAGTCTTTCCTTAGTTTTAAAGAAAAGGAAAGAGAAAAAGGAGGCTTTCTGTAATTTATGTCAGAAATGTGGGTCTCGGTCACATTAGAGCTCTCTGTATAACCGGAAAACTAACTGGAATAAGGTATCACAAAGGACCAAACTGAGGTTTTTAGTCACATCAATTTTTAAAGACTTAATTAACTCGGGCATTTAAAGACCTGTCCAGGAAAGAGATTTTAATTAACGGTTCATCTTTACCACCTTTGCAATTAGGAAGTGAGAACACTTGCAGCCCATAGCTACGCAATCAAAGAAAAAACAAAGACCACATTTGTCATTACTACTATTTCTTAATAAACATGTTGAAAATACATTTCAAAACTTCCTCTCACACATCTGTGGAGATCAAGAGAGAAATTAAAATAAAACTAAATGTTCTTGCAAGCTTATAAAGCTTGCAATTTTATGGCTTATGAAACTGCCGTAGCCACTGGTTTATCGGCATGTCTTACTAAATACCATTTCCAGGAGATCTTCTAGGTTACTGGTATCTTCCTGAAATGAAGCTTGGTTTGCCAGTTCTTTGGTTCAACAGCAACTCATTAACAAACCCTCCTCTACCAGTTTTCAGTTGGACGGACTGGAGGAGAAGGAAGAGGAAACCCAAGTAATACTTAATATGAAATAAACCACAATCAATATACTCAGTCTATTTATAGAAATGGATTGTTACAGAAAACTGCCCTTCTGTTAAGGGCAGATCCCAAGTCCTCTCTGTTCAGCTAGCACAAATTCTGTAACCCTGTTGATGTCTGCATAACCACTCAAGTTTTAGACACATAGAGAGTTGTTCTCACCCTCCCAGACTCTGAGCTGGCAGATACTGCACTAGCTGTGGAGACGGCATGTTCTTCTCCAGGCTGGAATTTGTCCCTGGGACCCACAAGGAATGAAGCAGTCAGGTAAGAATGGGAGTCAGGTCATAACGTTCATCCAGACGGAATGGAGGGGGGATGTTAGAAATGGGGAGAGAAGAGGAGCAAAAACCCTGACATGGATTTATCCATCTCACAAAGCCACCAGGAGGAGACCACCTGCAAGCCCACCATTCCACAATGCTGAAGCCCACTGTCCTTCCTACCAGCAGAGCTCAGCAGACATCACACTCTGACAAACACTTCTGAAGGAGCAAATTCCCACTGACTGAAGCAATGAACATGGACTGCCATTATTAGAAAAATAATAATTATGCACCATTGTAATAGTAAGAACCCACTGTACACAGGAAAGCTGATGATCTTGGAAATAAAGTTATATTGCCCCCACTGATCAGAGAGTCAACAGGAAAGCCTTGACTCCCGACTTATCAGTGCAGGACACAGCCCTGAGGATGCTGATCTCAGCACGTGTCAAGGTAACAGGAATTGCACTTCCATGATTAAAATCACTTTTGCATTTACCTCATGTAGATTTATACACACGCATGCAAAGGCTAGCCCCATCCTGCCTGTAAACGTATGACCAGGGAAAACAGGTAAGTTTATCTCACACATAGCACATGCACTCCCCACAGAGCCCACCCTGTCCCCAGTGCCTCAGCCTGCGGTTGCACGTATCATCAGGCCAGATCTCAAGAGCAGCCCCTATATCCAGTGGGATTTTAAGCCCTTGAAATGGCCCTCATTTTATGCTGGTTTTCCTCTCTTCTTACTCATTGCTACTGGTGGGGGAACCCAGGACTCGGCTGTGAGTGACTGCTGCAGTAGCTCGTTCCTGTGGGTTGATCTGGTAGCTGTTGGCTCCACGGAAAAAGTGTGAACACTGGGCCACCAGTTTACAAAGTCCAATATGGAGAGCAAGAATGGTTAAAGGACTCCAGTAAGGAGACGTTTTTATAAAGGCTGCAAATATTTATGTGCTTGCTTGACTGTCCAGAGTCTCCTCCTGGTACACAGAGCAAATGTCTCTAAAATTTAAGAATGTTCAAACATTTATGGAAGAGATCTAGCGTCCCCAAAATCCGCTCTCATCTACACAGAGTGATTCATCAGCAATCCCACCAATTTCTTCAGAAAAGGGATAAATTAAAGTAGACTACATCTCCACAGGTCTGTTTCTCCTCTTGCACACACTGCATTTGCTTGGGTTTGCAAATCTTGTGCGCTTGCACTGGCGTGAATGAAGCTGCACTTGGCCAATGTGGCCCTACGTTGGGAAGCAACTCCCACATTTAATCTTTGGACTTAACAAATCGTCTCCTAGTTATGCAAGGGAACTAGGGAGGGCAATGGACTTTCCATAATTTAGCCCTCCTCGTCTCGAGTTTCGGGGAAGATGTAGCAAAAAGGTGATGCGAAACCTCTCAAACTCTGCCAGTGTTTTGAGAACCAAACCCCACCTCCTCCCATCCATCATCTGAGCCAGCAGCAGGGAGAAACGGATCCACTTGGAGGCCCAGATGGACCGACTGAGCCCTCACGTAATGGCTTCACCCAGCCCCGAGCGGCTGGTGGGGAG